AGTTAACGGTCTTCCACAGTGAACGTTAGTCGTTATTTTTAATTTGGAGAAAATTGCAAATTTGGTCCCAAAACTTTTGTTGTTTCCCATATTTGGTCCCAAGTAGTTCGAGAAGAAAAATTGAACGGTCCAAAATTAATAATCATGCGAAATGAAACTCTCGTCTTCCTCCGGTTATTCACAAAAAATTAAACTCAAATCCGAAGACACGGTCTCCACAAGATGAATCCATATAAAACAAAAACCCGTCCTGAGTCATTCTACGCATGATTTACTCGATTCAAACTCCATTTTTTCCAAATGCACGTGCAAAAAGCTATAGATGGTCTACTCTAACATATAATAAGCAAATAAAAATGAAACCACATAGCCAACTCCCCATTTTTTCTTTTTCTTTTTTTTTTTATTTTTTTATATATGAGTAAATTTTTCCAAATGAGAGTCGTTAGGACGATTATTACCGAGGTTTACCCTCGGAGTTTGTCCCCGAATCTCTCATTCTAGTTTTCTGTACTCATTGCCCTCGATTTATCTCGAAAGAGACTAACTGGGTCAAACGGAGTCTAATTTTTTCAACTCTCATGAGCTCATTTTTATTCATTTTTTTCCCGTGAGCTTCATTTTCCAAATGAGATTTCCGGACGATGATTATCTAGGTTTAGCCTCGAGGGATTTCCTCGACCCGTTTTTCGGGATAATTATCTCATTTCACGAAGTGAATCAAAATAAGAGGAGCCTAATCCGTACTTTCTCGCGAACTCACATTTTATTATTATTTTTTTCGAAGGAAGCGACACACAAGGATACCAAACGTCATACATCCTAGCCTACCTACCGTTTAGGTGGTACCAACGAGTAATACATTAACATCAACAATCAATCAAGACGTACTGTATAGCATAACGTGATTACAAAGATCGAACGCAAGACAAGAATGTTTCAAGATCACCAATCGAGAACAAACAAGGGACAAAACAATTCCATTACACGGTAGACCACATAATCACACAAGCTCATGCGAGAAAAAATTGAAAAACAATAAATGAAAATAAGGGAAAAAAAAGCACGAACACGAGGAACGAAACAAGAAAAAAAAAATAAGGAAAAGAAAGCGCGTAAACTACACGGTGGTGTACCACCTTGTGTCCAATGGTGTTCTTCCGATGGAAATAGAGAAAATAATCCGAAAATCCTCGAGTGCAAAATAAAGCCATTCGAACGATTGTACGATGAAAGCATATCGATCCATAAGCCAAACGGACACTATGACATTTGAAAGCATAAGAGAGGTCAAGAATCCCACCACCCGGCCTCGGTTAAGGGCCACATGTATGCGTCTCGAAGAAATGGTAACGGTGAATCCACAAACTCGACGAAGACACAAGTATGCTTGAAAGATCGAAAATCAGGACCGAAATAGCCAATAATGTTCTTCTGGGACCAAATGTGGGAAACAACAAAAGTTCTGGGACAAAATTTACAATTTTCTCCAAATTGAAAATATTGACTAACGTCTTAATGAAGAGACTGTTAAAGTCTTGACGGAGTGGTACCATTTTGCCAACGAAAGTTTAAAAAGGACCAGAGTTGACATGTCTGGGACCAAATGTGGGAAACAGAAAAAGTTTCGGGACCAAATTTGCAATTTTCTCAATACTAAAATATTGTTCTTCTCTTGAGTTAAGCATTGTCTTTTCTTAGTTTCTTCATCTTCTTCATTTTTTCCTCTCACTTGAAGATTAGTTGCAGCCAG